AGAAATGGACCAGTACCTTGATTTCTGGAATATGATGGCGTACGATTTCGGTATGTTTAATTACCTTTGCGAACGTAATGTTTATTAATTTTCCTCAGCTGGATCTTGGGACCAAGTTGCCAACCACCAAGCCAACCTCCACCCAGCACCCTCAACTCCTCTCTCCGTGTCCCAGTGTATCTCGCATTACACTCGCTTCGTTGTCCCCCAGAAGCTCATCATCGGCATGCCCCTCTACGGGCGCTCGTTCCTCCAAACTCAAGGCCCTGGCACACCGTTCAGCGGTATCGGTCAAGGAAGCTGGGAAGCTGGCGTTTACGACTATCGGGCGTTGCCGCTACCGGGTTCGCATTTGATGCAAGACGACAATGCAAAGGCTAGTTGGGGGTATGATTATGAGAAGAAAGAGATGATCAGCTATGATAGTGAAGATGTGGGGAGATGGAAGGGAGAGTGGATTCGGAAGATGGGGCTAGGCGGGAGTATGTTTTGGGAGTTGTCGGGGGACAAGGAGGGTCCTGAGAGGCAGGAGATGGAGAAAGGGCATGGAAAGGATCCTCAGCCTGGACGTAGTTTGGTCAGAGTGGTGAAGGAGGGAATGGGTGGATTAGAGATGGGCCAGCATAACTGGTTGAAGTATGAGGGGAGCAAGTTTGACAATTTACGGAATGGAATGCAGTAGGGACTGTCTTACACACGCGGACATGTACAATATATATTCTAGCGACACCTATTAGTCCTTAGTGCCTTCTTTTACCATTCATAATACAACATTTGCAAGTAACAATACGTGCACGTGTGAGAGGTATAAAAGTATGAAAAGATATAACAGAACCAAGTTGGAATAAAACAGGCAAATAGAAAGGGGCACGTTGCAACAACTAACCTAAGGACCAATTCGTCGATAAGCACGGTTTCCGGCTGCCCACTTGTATCCGTGAGCAGCAGCGATACCCGTCACCACTACGCCCGTAGTAATGAAGACTGCAAAGATCCATCCAAGTGTATTGAGAATATATCCGACACCTAATGTAAAAAATCAGGAGATCAGAGATAGTTCGGCAAGGACAAAATAAGTGGGAGAAGTAAAGCGCAGCGAAAAAAGACGCTGCTTGTAGCGCGAATTATTGCCGTAGGTCGCCACTGTACACTAATAGACAATGCAGTAGAACTTACCCGGTTTAGAATCTTCGAGGTTGGGGAAGGCACCAGTACGCATAGTATCGGTCACGATGCTGAAAGCGACAATCTGCAACGCCGCTAAGGATAGAGACAGTGTCAGTACTTTGAACGTAATAAGAAGGGAGAGATTGACCATGCAATGCGACGAGTCCAGCTACAGCTTTCCATATCCTCCTCCTTCTCGAGCCAGTACTCAAGCCGATGAAGATGGAGAAGAGAGCGAGTACGGCAACTCCGATGCTTAGTTCGACTGCGTAGCCAGCAGAATTCTAGATTATGCCAATTAGTAAAGGCGAGAGACGAGATGTTGGCCCTCGTTGTCGTAAGCCATAGTTAGATCAGCGTTGTTTACTTACCCAGGCAGCACAAAAACCAGGGTATCTGTCCTCACATTGATCTTCAACACGTTTGGGGAATGGCCTGCAGTTTTCCTTAGAGTATTCGAACTTGGATTTGTCGTCATCGCCAAGTACACTGATACGCGTGAGCTCGCAACGCGTGGTGAGACCATAGCGCACAGTGACTTGGGTGTGGAGGATTTCTGGTGTTTTTACGACGAGCCTGAGGGATGCGTGAGCGGAGAGATTCCAGGAGTTTTGGCCAAGTCTGTGCGCACCAGTCTGTACGGACTAAGGAGACAACAGTCTGGAGATGTTTGAGTTGGACGTAAATATCGATAAGAGAATGGAAAAGAACGACGTACGAAGATTAAACTGAAAACAAGGGCGACAAAAGTGATAACGTAGGATATTTTCCGCATCTCTGTTGCACAATGTAGTCGCAGTCCAACTTGAAGAACTTGTGTTACTTGAGGTAAGTTATAGACCAGCACGTGATCGAGCTGACGTCATATTTGACGATGAACAGAACCACAACAGTCTGAGTCTAGTACTAAACAGTCCAATGGTGCTGGTCAACGCGCGCACTGCCGAACATGATGAAAACCTCAGAGTTAGACTCATCCAGCGCTGGGACCACAGCTTTTCAAGTACTCTCAGCTGACTAGTATCATGATTGATTTCTTGCTTGCACAGATCTTTTATCCAAAGATGAAAGATTTCACTCTAGTAGTACTGGTACTCGTATTTGTTGAATTGAACATATGTAGAGTTTGGCGGGATAATTTGATCTCCGTGGCGGTGCCTTGATTTCGCACTGTTGACAGTGAACGTCGGTCATAAATAATTTGCCTCCTCAGCTGGTCTAGGGAGGTTTTACATCTTGGCATCCTACATTCACCATGTCAAACTGGACTCACAAAGGCGAACCCAACCCCGAGCAATGGGGACAACAAGTCTCGCAGCCGCCTCAAGCCTATAATGGTCAACCAGCTCCGTATCCTGGTCCTACACCAAACTACGCTCAACCTACTACTAGCACCTCGCCGACGCCGCTTGTGGAAACCGATTATGATGCATACCAAGGCGACAGATTCAAGCCTCGCAAACGAATCCACGATCCTATCTTCCTCGTATTCTTTATCTTACAGGTTGGTGCACTCAACTCTAGCCATTTGAATAAAACTAATACAATTCAATTCCTCTAGTTTCTCGGTTTCGTCGCTCTTTCTGCCATCGTCCTTCATACTTGGGTAGCCAACAATGGCTTTGGAGGCGGACTGGGAGGGGAAAATACCGGTACACCATTTGTTTTGAACCAGAGTACAGTGTATCTCCTACTCCTAGTCACGGCGTGCGCTGTCCTGCTGTCTGTGGTGTACCTCATGCTCGTTCGAATGTTTACACGGGCCATCATGCATATCACGTTGCTGCTGACCATAGCTCTCAACATGTGCGTCTTTGTTCCTTTGGCCTCGTTCGCCATTAATCATTGTTTCAGAGGAATATGTGTATACTACTGGATCACTAGATACTTCTGTATGTCTCCTCTCTTTTGTCCGTAAGTTTGACCAACATCTGTTTCCAGCCGGCGCAATCATCTTCACCATCATCGCCCTCTTCTCCATCTTCTCCTACTTTGGCTTCAAATCACGCATCCCGCTCGCGTCTCTCCTTCTCCAAGTCGTCATGGACGTCAGCAAACACCACATCTCAGTCTACGTCGTCGCATTCACCGCGTTGATCCTCCAAGCGGCGATGTCCGTATGGTTTGTCTTTACCAGTATCGCCATGTCAGTTTACCTCCGAATAACTCTGCTTACTTCTAATCTTCTGATCACCGTTCTTACAGATACGAGAAATGGACTCCCGGAAGTGTAACTTGTAGTACAACCTCCTGCTCCTCAGGCAAAGTCGCCGGACTCATCTTCTACGCCACCTTCTCGTACCTCTGGACATCTCAAGTCATCGGCAATGTCGCGCTTGCGACTCTCGCAGGTGGACCTTATGGCACATGGTACTATTTCGGTCCCAAGGAGATGGGAGAGATGCCCAAACATCCTACGTTATCGGCTTTTGCACGCGCTTCGACGATGTCCCTCGGGTCAATAGCCTTTGGCTCGTTGATCGTTACGTTATTAGAGCTTCTGAGGATGGTGCTGAATGCTGCGCAGAGTATGGCAAGAGCTGATGGGTCTCGTTAGTCTTTCCGTTATTCTTCATCGCGGTTTCCGTACTTATTCACCTCTGCTTTTCCTGTAGCCGTCGAGGCATGTCTGTGGTGCTGTGCCTCGTGTTTCATCGACTGTATCGAAAGTGCTATCCGGTACTTTAACCGTTACGCATATATTGAAATTGCGCTTTATGGCAAAACGTATCTGGGCGCCGCCAAGAGTACATGGAGGTTGTTCAAAGATAGAGGTATCGATGCACTTGTTAATGACTCGTTAGTTGGGATGAGTGAGTGCTTGATTGTCTTTTTAAACAGGATGGCTCATCATGTTCTAGCTCTGACATGGGGAGCATACGCTGTTGGAATGTTATCTTCGTTGTTCGGGTATTTGTATTTGCGCCGTGAGTTGCCTGTCTTTTCTCATTTACCTTCCCACTCCATACCATTCCCCCTGTTCCCCTGAATTCTTTCTAACTACGAGTCAATCTTGTTCTAGTCACCCACCCCGCGTACAATGCCAGTGGACAATACACCGCTCCAGTCATTCTATTCGCGTTCCTCATCGGTCTGATGTGCTGTAAGTGTCTGCGTTGACTGCTGCTTCATGCCAAAGCATGTATATAATATATTGACTTTTTCAACAGCATTGACATTATCTTCCGCTATCGAAGCTGGTGTCTCGACCATGTATGTTTTAATTCGCTGTCACGGCGTCTCGGTTCACTGGCTGATTTTTGTGTTTGATGTAGTTTCGTCGGTCTTGGAGAAGACCCTCAGGTGCTTTCACTTCGTGCTCCGGCTTTATACGGGGTGAGTTCCCCCGTTTATTTTTTATTTTCTTGGCTTGTTGTCGTTTTTTTTGGTTTCCTTACCTGCGTTATTTCGAACCGTTACTCATGCCTGTGGATTATGATTATATAGATGATCGCGGAAACTTATCCTCAAGTCGTGGTTGGGGTGTAGACAGGGTGCAAGTGGTAAAGCGTTTTTTGTGAGATGGTTTTTATGATGTCCTTGGTTATTCGATCGGTGTATGGTCTCGATTAATACAGTATTGTATGGTTAATGAAATTTATAGAACGGATGAATGAAGACACAAGTTTGATGAAGAGGAGGCAAGGGTTCTCGTTGCTCCTGTCCTAGGGCTTTCTACAAAAAATTCCACGAGTCAAATGGGCATCAACTCCTCGATACGTATCGTAAATGGCAATTGGATTCACCTAGAACTAAAATAAATAGTAAAAATTCGGCAGGGCAAATTTGGTTGCCAACCAAAAAACTTCCAAAACTTGTCAATCGAAACTCATAACCGACGACGGGGATCGAACCCGCAACTTCAGCCTTTCTAACTATTCCGAAACGACGAATAGGAAAGCTACGCGCTACCATTGCGCCACGCCGGCCTTGTTGAAGGGGGGGCATAGCTAGCCTTAAGCAACCAAGGTACATAATAAATATCCTAGGTTCTCCTAGTTTCCGAAGCCAGGTTCATGGCAGAGTGAACCGGGAAATCTTGGTTTTACTTGAAAGACAGATCCCAGCGCTTTGACCGGTTAAAGCAAGTATCAAGTATGCTCCTGGTCTTCAGTTGTCAAATCCGTGGTTAGTACTCTTCTGACATGCTTATCTATTCAGCTGCGTTGCACGCTAATCCACATCCGTGACAGGCCGAGCGCAGGCTGGATTCACGACTCGATACGATTTCAAAACAACCATTCACTACAAACATAAATTAGCGAGAAATCTTAGCCAGAATCCAGGTACAAGTCCCATTCCATCTATGTAACATTCCCTAAACTTAGACCGAATCCTGGACGGTAGCATATTCGCTTTCGATACCAGGTTCGATGAAACTGGCATGACCGAGAATAACCACACCGGAGGCACCGACAAGCCAGAAGAACGTCATGACTGGCGACGCGATGAAGAGTAAGGGCAGACCGATGACAAAAAGGCCGAGGTAAAGATGTTTCTGGGTAATCGTGTGTTCGCCCATTTGTACAGGTTCCGGAGCTACGAAACGTATGCTCAGATTGGAAAAAGAATGAATGTGAAGGATAAACACACCGAATCTGTTGATTACAACGAATCCACCGACCAGGAATCCGAGAGCGATTAGGAGAAGCGGATTGCTGAGACTATTGAGTGATACGTGTCAGGAAGGAACATGGCGAAACGACGTGGAGAAGAACGAACAGCGCATATACAGCCAGAAGGGCGATTATAAGAACATAGTTTCCTGAATAATACGAGGGATTCAGAATGAGTATCGGGCAGAGTCGTGGTTATACCAACCAGAAAAGTATCGCGTGTTGTATGTTATTCTCTGTAATCCCGAATTAAGTGTTTTTTCAAGGAAGGCATACAAAACACACCTGAGTAGCCTGGTTAAAATCTGCGGGCCGTGAAATTCTGTGGTAGTCGAAAAACTCTGTCGGAGATCGAAGAGCAGCTAGACGTGTCTCCTGTATAAAAAGTATAAGTGTCCATTGTCCATTTTGAATGAAAACCCACTTACTCTGAAAGACTTGACTGCATCCATTACTCGCATTGAGGCTTCCATGATTGAATATTAGAGAGCAGAGCCAGAAGAGAAAATTGAATCAAGAAAAGTGTTGGTATTTGTGCAACGTGTAGCCAGTCGGCGCTTCTATTTATTACTTTTCTCAACTGCGCAGTAGCTGCGCTTACCTCGCTTGACCTTGACCTTGTATGAGCCTCCTCATTCATTTCACTGCATTCAATAATCCAGATGGTCATAGGTTCAGGCTTTCTCGCTGTCACTGACGCGTAAAATGATTCGAAGAAACCCAACTCTCATCAACATGAATGACGGCGACGTTCAGGACATTCGGGACATCGTCTCCAAAGACAAAGTTGATCCCTCAGGAACTCAGAGTTTAGCAATGAAGATGAAGAGGATGGCAGATAATCCTAATATCACGGCCGAGGATCTGCAGATGCTAGAAAGTATGAAGAAGTGGAAAGATAAAGAGGAGCATGAAAAAAATGTAAAACCTGGTGTGTTTTTGGTCTCGTTAACTCTAGATTTTCTGATACTTAAGCAGGCGAGTAAAACAGCAGAAACATTAGGCTCAGCCTCCGGGATGAGATTTTCATCTTGAGTTACCACTCTAGCACTCTAGATCTGTACAGTAGTGTACGTCAACTATGTCTAATACACAATACTTTTTTGCTCTATTGCAACTGAAAGTTAAAACGGAAGGCTGAAATCTCACTTGAGCAAATCGTTCCAGACAAGGTATCAGAACAACACGCACTTTCAAGGTCCCTCCTATCACACAATGTAGCTAAGTCTACTCGTTGCATATGAAGACAGGCTGTTTTCAAGCTGTCCCAAAGAGCGTTTGATGTAATACCTCCTCGGGCTACATTCAAGCCTTCCGCATCATGTACACCTTCCGCATCCTGGAGCGAAAGAGCGTCAAGAATATTCTGAGCGCCTTCGCTGTAGCGCTGTCGAAGATATGTTAATTCAAAATTAATTCAGAAGAACAGGTATGCACCCACCTTTAAATTGATGCATGAAATCCCAAGATTGTATCTATAAAAATTTGTTTCGTGAGCCTCAAGTAAATAGAAACTTCACAACACGAACCGGGCTCGAATGTAAACCGGATTCAGGTCAAGTGCGCGATAATAGTATTCAAGAGCTTCAGCAGCTCTGCCGCTGTTTGCCATTGTGGCGCCTACTCTGTTATACAGCTGCCAATCCTATTGGCGGAATCGTTAGCTATCGCATGCAACCAGGCCATCGATCGATATGATACATACATCGGGACGAACTGACAGTGCCGCTCTGAAACAATCTTGAGCTTTCTCATAGTCCTTGCAGATGAATTAGCATCCTTTTCCCGAACCCGAAAAGACAAATATGCACACCTCGTTCGAATTAAAGAGCACAGCTAAAGCGATTTGGATATCAGCGTCAATCTGTCCAACAGCACTTTGTTGAGCCATGGTAATCAAGCATTGAACTAGGTTACTGAATTTCTCATGCATAGTGGCATTGTCCGGGAGTACCGGGAAACGAGCCAAGTGCTGTTGTACAATGTCGTGATGGTCTTTGTTTCGAATAACCCACTCGCGAATGGCATCGTGAGCTTCAAGCCGCCGACCGTCATTTGTATACGATACAGCTAACGCCAGCCATCCCGGTAGATAGGATGGATCGAGTTCCGTAGCACGGGTAAGGGCCTGTAAAGCTTGGGTTTCACGTTCGTGCTCTTGTTGCTTGACACCAAGTTCAAACCAAGCTGAGGCATCGGCCATGTTTCTCTGTACGTTCGCTTCCAGTTCCAGTACAGTCTGGGGCACTGTCCATCAGCAGTTACCTATGAGATCGCGCGATACATACCTCCAAACGTTCATCTAAATGCATGGAATGGTGCCGCGTTCGTAAAGAACCTTCGCCTCGTAGATAGGGATTATTTTTCTGAAATTGGTACGAGATAATGGGCTTTATCCCTTGGGTTGAAGCTTCAAACTTGTCCCAATCCTCCTGCAGGTGATCCCAACTAGACTCTATGGACGTGCTAGGTTTCTGAGTAGTGTTCCAGTGTCTAATGTATTCCTCGTTCTCTTGTCTGAAATAAGCATCATTCGCATCTTCCTGCGCAAGACCATGTTCGCCCAACAGAACTCTCTCTTGTGCGGTAAGGCTACCGGTTGCGTTCAAGGGAACAAAACGATTGACATCCACGGACGGAACGAATGGTATATCAGATGCTCTCCCTTTTCCTTTCACGTCCGTTCGAGTAGCGACAAAAGTCCCATCATTATCGACCATCTCATTCCCACTAACGATGACTTTGTGGTCGCGAAGTTTAGCCATCAAGCTCATGAATTGGCTGTTTTGAAACTTGGGATTCTGTTCAGCCTTGACAGTTTCTAAGAGAAGACCAGCCGTCCGAGCGAGTTCATCTTGCTCATGAGAAGGTTGCACAATTTCTTTTGTTTCACTGTGGGATGGACCGGCCGCGATGTGCTGGGCGTCGAACTCTTTGTCCCAGGAAATCTCTGGAAAAATTGTAAGCGAGAATGAGGCGGATCCAGTATAGAGGAACATACGAGGACTCTGAATCGCAACGTTGGGAGTTGACATCATGTTCATAGGCGTGAATGCACCAACAGATCTCATGCCCATTGCGGACATACCGCTGCTCCAAGGCATAACTTCTGCGATCAGAGTGAGCTTTCGTAACCAGACAGGTAGCGAGACGCACGAGAGGGATATGCTACATTTGCGGCTGCAATTGGAGGGGTGGAAGAATTCTGAATGGGAGATGAGACGAACGACTGATGTGTCAAGAAATCTGCGGCCCAATCAGCGACGGGATTTTGCTTAAATTGTTGTATTTCCAGGGCAGGTAATGTTCGTGAAAGAGCTCCCAAGTCATATGCATTGTTACCAGAAAACTGAGGGGGAGGTGATTTGGCAAAGAATTGTGTAGCACCCTCGTCAACCTGTAAACGTCCGGAAGACTGCGAACGAAAGGCCTCAACAGCGAGTCAAGTACTGGCCATTATCAAGACACTGAAAAGACAAACTTCTTGCGAAGATCCAGCTCGACCTGCACCAAAATAATCCTTCAAAGTGATGAGTACATTTCAAGGAGCTGACCGGAAGATATTAACTTGTTGCAACCCACGGTCGTTGTCAAAACGTTTCGACAAGCCTTGAAGAGGATTAGAGGGGCCGCATTCTGCACCACCAACAAGCATAGGCAAGGCCATAGCTCACACACAAAGAAGTTGAGAGTAAGGTAGTACGGGAGCTCAATCTCCCGAGCTCATGTGATTCGTACATGATTAATACAGGCCAAATTTACTAATTACAGAGTACACTTTCAATTCACACCTCAAAACAACTGGAACCCGGTAAAAAGGAAAGGAAAACAGTCAAGTACTAAGGGCCTTCCTGCGGGGAACCCTGCGGAATAACCGGCTCTGGCAAGGGCGTTTCTGGAGTGGTCTGCGGCTGCATAGGCGTTTGCGAAGAGCTACTTTGGCTACTTTGATCCGTATTTGTGCCTTTCATGGCGTGTTTCTGTCTGCAGTCTGCTGCACCTTCGGAGCGTACTAAATATATCAAGTCAGCGGCCGGATCCTCCATCGAGCATAATCTTACAATGTCTCTGTAACGAAGTCAGCAAACTAAGCTATAAAACAAAGAGCAACACGAACATTAAGTGCATCCAATCTACTGAAAGTCTTCTTGCATCCCTGGCAAACATTTGACTGCGGCTTATTAGCATGAAGAGCTTGATGCCGCCTATTAATGACATTGTCAGTTAGTAGAATAAGAAAACCGTCTATGACGCACTTGCAGTCGTGTTGACGAGCGAAACCCTTGTTACATCCTGGCCATTCGCATACAAAC